TGTTGGATGTAATCAGCAGAAATAAACAGAAATTTGGAGCCAGAAAAAACAATTTTACTGGAAATATGTTAATGCCCTAAAAAATAAGGGGAGAGCCAAGAAAAATCAGAGTTCAGGACCGATGTAAACCAAGGCAATGGGGGTCTCAGGAACAGGACCCTGCAACATCCTCTAACTGCTGCTTCTGATGCTGGTCGGTTGCCATTGTTTTTTGTTCTTGGAGGGAGAAACAGCTCAAGTAGTTTGGATTTGGGCCTTACCTGTGGTCAGAGGAGGAGCAGAGATTTGAGACTCGCATGCCCCCCACCCCCACCCATGGATCCACAAGAACAGGACTCCAGACAGACAAAACACTTTGTATTTACAAAACATTGTCAGGTGTTCCTGAGGCCCTGCTAAGCAATTGACTGAGTTTTCACCCTCTTTGCCAAAAATTATTTCTACTTTTTATGATAACCCATTGTCATTTCCTCCCATCTTTCCCAGATGATCGTTCTTTCTTTTGAATGACTTCTATGATGTTTATTCATTTAGTCAACAAACATTTATTGAGCACCTACTAACTCTCAGATTTTGTGTGGAGGACTGGCTTAGCTCAATGAACCAAAAATAGACCAGGCCCTCAAGGGTGTACTTACTAGTGGGAGAGACTCACAACTAAGCATAAGCAGGTAAATGAAGGACATCAAGTTGCCACATGCTAATAGCCAAACCATAGGACAGGAAAAGAGAAGCTATGAGTGTGGGGTCTCGATTAGATCACGTTTATGTGAGTCTGCCATGCAACTGGTCATTTATTGATTATATTGTTTCTTCTCTGTCATAAATGATCATCTGCCTTTCCATTAGGAGAGAACACCATTGGTAAGAAGTCACATCAATCATTTCTAACTCTGACCCCCTGCTTCAAGGTGGATGCTGAATAAGGTTGAATAAATGGCTAAACGCAAGCCATTTGCTGTTGGGTAGTTGCATTTTTCTATTTGTGAATCAGCTGACAGATCTCCTCAGGGTCACTGTGCTAGATTGGGCAGTGGACACTGCCCTCAGGTTGGTTTCCTTATATTGTTGTTGTTTTTGTTTCATCATTACATGCTTTCTGAATTTAAGATCAGTTCTGAGGAAGAAATGAGAGAACCATCCAGTTTGCCACTTGATTTCCAGAAACATGACTTCAGAATGAATCATAGCATCTGAAGTCAGTTCAGGCACCTCAATCAACCTTCACCAATCAAGACTCAATCAATAGTGAGGTTGTGCTATGAATAACAGTGACAAAAGCAATGGTCCTCTCAGGGAAGCTAGAATCCTATGAAATCTGCTCCTCCGGACTTAGTTTCCATATTTCCTAAAGTGGAGAGACTTATCCTAATCCTCATTGCTTTCTCTGTGAAAAGTACCAGACAATGGTATGCTGTAAAATGTTTTGATTAGACATGTGTGAAGTAGGCCAGTATTGATTGCCTGGTATCTGGATGTGTTCTCTAGCAGGATTCCAGGCTTTTCACTTTTGATTAAAAAAATAAAATGGCTGCCATTAACACTGCTTTTGGTTGTGACGGTAGCTATGTTTATGAATGGTCAGCTGTGTTGTGAGTATACTTAGCTTATGCTGATGCCCCATGAGAGGATGAATATCATCTGTTTCTAGTTTAATTGTGTTTTGGAGCATGGTACATTTTTTTCCAGATGAATAAACAGTAAGCCTTTCCCACTTCCTGAGGAAAGTTAGGGTTGGATTCTGAAATTCCAATTACCAAACTTATTGCCATCAAATGAAAATGTAAACAGCTATTTGACTCTATTTACAAGCATTTGTCAGAATATTCTGCTCAGTGAAAATGCTATGTTTTAGGCAAAAAGTTACACAGCAATGCTGAGCCCAGAAATCACTTCATTGATTATAGGCATGAACGGATGGTCTGCGTGATTCATAGAATAGTGAGAAATAGCAGCTAAAAGGTATTGGAAGCTATATAATCTGGTCTTAAAACATTTAAAACTTTTTAAAGTAGTTTTTAATTCAAATGTTCTTAAACTTTTATAATATAAACCTTGAAGATTACATATGAAAACCAAAATAATATAAAGTAACTCTTATCAGCACTACTATGATTAAAAAAAGAATTCACTTCAGGCTTCTCTAATAATAGATTTGACTATCTGTATTTATTCATTCATTTGTTTGCTTGTTTATAAACTATGAACTTCCTGGTAGATCCTAAGGGTCAACTGGAAATGGGGGTCAGAAAGGAATTTTTGAGTGATTATATGCTGCTTCTGTGGGTAGAGACCTAGTGATGGCAAATGACCGCTCCAGAGTCATCCCACTGCTAATGGAACTAGAGCCAAAATTCTTTTACCCCTATAGTCTTTCGACCTTCCCCCTTGTCTCCCTGAAAGGATAATTTTAAATAGCAAGGTATATATATAATATGCAAAATGCAAAATTTGTTTTTGACTGTGTTTTAATGAAAGCAGCTATTTAACAAACAACAGAACCTGTAATCCATGGATGTAGCTCTTCTTTCCCGTACACCTGTGCGCCTCCCTCCCACCTCCATCATTTTCTTATCAATCTCTGAAAAAAATAATAGGTAACACAGACTGTGTTTCACTGCACTTCTGTGAGCAGATCAGGGGAATTTATCCAGAAACAGAGATCAGACTGGGGAGCTTATATACCTCTCAGTGGTGTCCTCTCTCCTGGTCTCATCCCGCTGGCTTAAGCACCGCCAACTAGCTGGGTCTTCAATGACCTGTTTACTCTGATACTCAAGAGAGCCATAGAGTTCTCTGTCAGGTCAGCTCTAGCAACTGTTTATTTACCTTATCATTTTAATCAAGTAACTATTTGTTCATTTAATTAGTTTTTAAAGATTTAGTTATTTATGCATACAAGAGCTGGGGTACAGGCCAGAGGTGTGGGGGGTGAAGGACTCACCAGAGACACAGTGGGGAGCAGAACTTGCAGATACACTGAAATGCACTGCTGAGGGGAACAGCAGGTGAGACAGGAGAGGTCTGCTGCACCATATGAATTAGCTCCCTGGCCAGGGATCAAACTTGCGCCACAGTGGCACAGTGGCTGTTGATAGCTTCATAGTGCTGAAACTTAACGCCTTGCGCCATCAGGGAGGCCCTGTGCATTTATTTTTCAATAAAATCTGAAAGTTTGAAATGGAGCTTTCTATCTATCTATCTACACACACCTATATAAATTATATATTTATACATATAAATATACATAAATGTAAAACAGTATGAATTTACTTTTATTTATTCCACATCTTAATGAAAATCCTAAAATAAGACTTTTTCAGTTATGTTGTGTTTGTATGTCAACCAAGTAACTATGACATAAAATGTATTAAAACCATTTCACACTTTTTTCAGTTAAAAAACATGCATTTTATTAAGCCCAAATCTCTTATAAATATTCATATTATTAAAAAATATGGACTTATGAGTGAGGTAAAAAGTCACCTAGACCAGAATTCTTAGATTACTGGAGCTAAAAATAACAGAATAACTTCTACTTATGGAACATCCAGAGGTTTAATAACTTGCCTGAGGTCCTTAGCAATGAAATACATTGTCTCTATTCTAAGTTCAAAGAGACAAATTTATAACCCTTTGGTAAAGTTCCTAGTTCTGGTTTAAGTTATTCAATTCTCTGTTAAATGCTTGGTGGAATAAGAGGACTTGGTGTATGGACAGAGAAACATTTGCAATGCTTGATTCATCAATTACACAGAAATTGGTAGAATGTTACACTTCTTCCCACTGTATAAGTTGGAGTATCTTGTTTTTCTTGAATTATTACCATTGATTTTTTTTTTTTTAGTAGAAGAGAGAGGATATTTAGAAACCCAGACAATTACATATTTTTTGGTATTTTATTCCTAAAGAAAATAGTACTCTGGTGTTTAAAAATTCAGTGATATGGGGCCCTCCCTGGTGGCACAGGGGGTTAAAGCACAGCACTAAGAAGCTAAAGCCACTTCAGCATGAGTTCGATCCCCACCCTGGGAGGTGACCCACATGGCAAGGCAGACCTCTCCTGACCCACCCGCTGCTCCCCTCAGCAATGTGCTTCATTGATCTGCCTGTTCTGCTCCCCACTCTGTCTCTAGTGAAGCTTCTCACCTCCCCTGCACTCTGGCCTGTACCACAGTTCAGTATGCCTAAGTAAATAAAACTTTTTAAAAAAATTCAATGATATGAGTTGGGCATTTTAAAAAAAATATTTCCCAAGAAAGCTTTGACCCACTCAATTGTTTGCAAGCTGTAGTAGATACACTAATTAGATTTCTAGACTGGTGCTCCCAGCAGTGTCAGACACACTTTATTGTCAAGGACAGGTTACAGTTGTCAGAAACCAAATCCTATAGAGCTCTTCCTCTTCTCCATGTCCACAGGTGATGGAACCAAGTAGATAAGACCTCCCTCCTGGGGCCCTTCTCAACCACACACCTGAAACAGGGGTCTCACAGGCTAAATTCTTCCATCTTTCTGTTCTTCTGCCACTCCTGATCTCTGTGTCCGAGGGCACATCAGTACCACTTACTGACATGTTGGATTTCTTACTGTTACATTGGCACTGCTAATTCTTTTTAGAATGACACTAAACTTTTGTCCATCCAAAGGTGGCTCATTTGGCACTTGTTCTGAACTGGAAAATGAAGACCCATCTTCCTGAGTGTCCCTTCACACGGATCCTTGTCCAGTTTCAAGGGATTTAGAAATGTCAAGCATTCAACACTGGACTCCTCATTGTGCTAACCTCTGCCTCCTTTTTCTAGGCTAGTGTTTGCTGCTGAATTCCATCTTCATCCCACCTGCACTCTCTTTCTCAAAAGGTGTTTGTGACACCTAGTAACCCAAGTCATGGAAAGCCCCCAGCACACTGCCACTACCTGAGGGGGGGACAAACGACTTTATAAACAGTCCTTTATGACACTCACATTCAACATGATTGTTTTTTCTGTTTCTTTTAGATCATCTCAACTTTTCCCTTGGAACTGCGCACTAGCTACAGTCAGAGAGTAAGTATATATTTACTGTTTATTAATGAACTGTGAGTGGAAATCTCAGTTTTGTTCAATCATTTTCCTAAGTTTCATTTAAATATTTTATCCATGAATAGTAGCACAGTGCATGGGAATATGTAGGAAAAGGTATGTTTTTTAAGTTTATTTTTAGATAAAATACTTTTTTTCTTAATTGTTGCTAGTTTTGGGGCATTACTTGTTTTTTCACCTCAAGTCTGGTTGGTCCCCACAGTCCCACCACCATAACACGTGTGACCCACCACCACAGCCCCTTCCCTGTCTTGACCCTTCCTCTGCCCACTCCCCCCACCCCGGATGTCTCAGGTCTATGGTCAGCTTGCAAGTTGTGTCTTTTCCCTGACCCTTTGTTTTGTTTCTCCATATTCTGCCGCTAAGTGAGACCATCTGATATTTCTCTTTCTCCTCCTGACTTACTGCACTGAGCCTAATCCCTTCTGGCTCCATCCATGCGGCCCTAAATGGCTTGAGTTTATCTTTGTTGATCACTGAGTGCTATTCCACTGTATAAATAGCACATCTTCTGATCTATTCATCTGTTTTAAGACATTTAGTTTGTTGCCACGTCTTTGCTATTGTAAACAGTGCTGCAGTGTACATAGGATTGTAGGATTCCTTTCAAATCAGTGTCTTTGCCTCCATTGGGTAGCTTTCTAGGAGTGGAATCATGGGTCATGTACAGATCCATCAGACCCCTTTCTAGGGTCCTGAGGAGGGAACTCCTTCCCACAGTGACTAGAGTAGTTTACATTCCCACCAGCAATGTAAGACACTTCCTTTTTCACCACATCCGCTCCAGCATTTGTTGTTTCTGTTTTGTTTTGTTTTTAAAATATAGCGCATTCTCACTGAAAAACAGAAAACTTATTTCTCACTGAAAAACAGAAAACTTATTTCTTGCTTTCAAGCCAAGGTCAATAAATAGGCTTCATTCCTTCTTCTTCGAATCCCTGTACATACATAAAAGTATGTTTAAAAATACTCCTCTCAAATGAGAATTGAGATTATTTGAAGATGAAGGAGTCCAAGAAGAACACCTGAAAATAACTCACAAATATATCACCCTTCTTCTAATGAGTGCTTTTCTTCTTAGCAATGAAAAAAAAATTGCACAAAAATATGTTTCCAATTCAATGGTACAATGTTTACACGTTTTACAAATTCTTTTTATAAAAGTGTGATGACCCCTTTTTTAACTTTTCATGATTTAGTTTTGTTAGTTTCTGAGACTGTTAAGATTTTCAATACTTCTGTGCTAAAAATTCTGCCTACTAATAAGTGTTAATAGGAAGATACAAAGTAGCTTACACACTTTTAAAAAACTTTACTATAAATCTCTATTTTAAATGAATTAAATTTTCATTTTCACTGATTTCTTTTTAGGGTTCTGAATCCTTTTCTTATAAAATAGTACAATATAGATACTGATATTATCATGTTGCATTTTTATACCTGCATTTAACTTTTTATCTGTATCACCATCTAGATTTTCAGGAATTACATAGATATTTTTGATTGCTCCTTATAAAAACCAAAAGCTTGAAACCCTACTATTTAGGCACTGGAGCCTTATTCGCCATGCTGCTGCTTGCATCTGGAAATACAGCACAGCATCCTTTGTTAGTCCCCATTGCCAGTGTAGGTTTGGATAATGGGATTGCTGGAACCCTCTGTGAGGGTTACTCGAGAGCTATTAGCAATTGGGCCAAAAGCCTTTACTATGTATGTCACAGGTATGCAGCTACTTGGAAGAAAACAGGAAACCTGTGGAAACAGCTCATTAGCAGCCATATTTTTTTTTAAGAATAATGTGATAGTTTATTTTTACATCATTTTGTGCCTTTTTCCATCTCAGTTGTAATCCCCGTGGGCTTCCCATCACCAAATCTCCCTGTGCCATCACCACAGTCCAGTGCATTTCCCTCCCCGCCCCCCCCAGCCCCGTTTTTGATCCCATTCCCCGCTCCACCCCCGTAAAATGTCTCTGGTATATGGCTGTTCATCATTATCATTATTTTCTCGCCTGGTCTGTTATATTCCTGCTATGAGTGAAACCATCTGGTATTTTTCCTTTTCTTTGTGGCTTATTTCACTAAGCATGATCTTTTCCAGCTTCAACCATGTTGCTTCATTAACAGCCACATTTAAGTGAAAAGGAAATACATATTGTAATAGTCCAATTAAGAAACCTGCAGGAAGAGGACTCCTGTATCCTCCACCCCCACCCTTCACCCCCTCTTAAAGCTCTTCCTATTATATCTCTTTTGTCTTCTTTCCTGCTCACTCTTAATAAAGCCTTAGGCTGTCAGCTGTTAGTTTCTTTTCTACCAAGGGGCATAAAGGGTTGTTATTCAGAATAGGGAGGATGTAATCATCTATAGCTACTGATAAAATAACTCATTTAGTAAATAAAGGTCATCGCTTGCTTGCTTTCTTCCTTTCCTTCTTCCTTGGAGTGGTTTTACTGGTAGGAATTAAATAAAGAGATCTTTCTTTAAAAATCCACAATAAATTAGAATAAATAGAGGTAACCTTTCCTGCTTGTGGAGGAAGTATTATGTGAACTCTCAGAAGAAGATCTTTTGTCTTGGGATGGAAGGTCATGGGCTAAAATGAGTCTTTATCTGAGCTGAAGGTAGGGGAAAGTCTTGGAACTTGGCTTGTTGGCCATGCTGCTCATCAGATCTCTTTCCATGGTTTTAGTCTTGGTGTGAAGGCTTACTTGTCTCATGGTTCATCCATTTACTTGCCATGTGTCTTATTATATGAAGTTGCTACTTTTACCTATCATTAAAATTCTGCAGTTACTCTATGACTGGAGCAACTCTTAGATATTTTCATCAGAAGAGCTGGGTTGCCTTTGAATGAGTATGTTTTCTCTATAGTGCTTCTGCACATGACTGTGCTTGGCCTTTGCTTCTAGACCATCCTAAGTTCATTTGGCCTCATTGTCATTAAATCCAAGATGAGTTTCCTAGTTTGTGAATGATGAGGAGCAGTGGGTTGTTATCTGGGGCTTCTTTTGGCTGAAGAAATGCATTTGCCCTGCTAAACATGGAGCTTCCCTACGACCCATCAATCCCACTCCGAGGTATCTACCCAAAAGACACAAAAACACTGATTTAAAAAGATACCTGCACCCCCATGTTTATTGCTGCTATATTCACAGGTGGAAAGACATGGAAACAGCCCAAATGCCCAAAAATGTATGATTGGATTAAAACGATGTGGTATATATATATATATACAATAAAATATTATTCAGCAATCAAAAAACAAACAAAAAAAAGAAACACATGTCTTTTGCATCAATATGGATGAAGCTGGAAAAGATCAAGCTTAGTGAAATAAGCCAGAAAGAAAAGGGAAAATACTGGATGGCTTCTTTCATAGCAGGAATATAATGGAACAGGTGACAAAATAATGATAACAATGAACAGCTATATATCAGAGACATTTTGTGGGCGTGGAGTGAGGAATGAGATCAAAAACAATGGGGGGAGGGAAATGCACTGGACTATGGTGAATGCACATGGGTGATTTGGTGATGGGAAACCCAAGGGGATTGCAACTGAGATCGAAAATGCATAAAAATATGTAAAAATAAACTATTATAAAATTTAAAAAAAAGAAAGGCATTTGCCAACTCACCCATAGTTCTTTATTCAGGACCCCACCCCACCTCCACTCTGCCATCTCTTAAACCTCATCAAAACAATGAGTCTTCCAATTACCTTCCTTCCACCAGCCTCACTCTCTACTGGGGACCACAGTGGTGGGGTTTGCCAGACAAAATATGCACCCCAGTTTTCAGAAACTTCCCATCTTCCTGTCTATTCCTGGAGTCCCCAGGTTCCTTTCAGGGCACCCGAGACTCATTTTCTGAGGACATCACTGAAGTCTCAGCTGACTTTGACCCCTCCTAGAACAATCACATTCTAATAGAATAATCCTGAATACTTGACAGACATCCAAGCCCCCAAATAATGGTGAAATTCTAAGCACAGTGATAGGCGAAGGTGGAAATACGTTTACAATATCCTTGTCTAGCTTCCCTTGAATCACAGATGCCTACTCTGCTTGCATACATGTCCGCCTTGTGTGGGACTTCTCGAAAGACAGAAATGTCGATCCCTGTCATCATGGTGAGATTAACCTAGCAGGAGAGCTGAGCTATGTGTGGCGACCGAGGCAGACTAATGTGCTGTTCCAGAGCTTTCCTAATCACACACTCTGACATTCTTCTTTCAGGTTTTCTGTTTATGAACTGTGTTGACTGCAAATAAAAGCAATCACTTACTCCAGCAGCAATCAGCGTTGATTTGGAAATGAAACAACAGACAAGAGAGTAGATTGGGGAGTTTTCTCACCACAGAGATACTCCCCAACCTACTCTCTCTTCTGTTTGTCATGTCCATGAATCCAAGACTAACCACCCCTCTGGGCGACCTCCCTGTCAGTTCCCAGGAGGAACAATGGCTTCATTTTTCATGACAGATGCAGGGCATGCTGGGTCCTGTAATTTGTAGATTGACCCATTTGTGAACATTCCTTCTAGCCTCGCAAACTGACTGAAATAAACTTCAGAATATTAATGTTCATAGTTGTATGCCTTTGGGCAAATTTCCAAAGTTTTCTGAGGTCCGCTTTCTTTATCTGTGAGTGTGGGATAACTAAGCCCAGGCTAAAAAACATACTGAAAATTCAGTGAGCTAAAGAATAGATCATTCTTGGTACATAGCAGATGTGCAGAACTTGGGTGTCATAGAAAATAAGAACTAGACCTGGGAGGATTATAATGCCAAATAAGGCAGGTTGGAGGTCTGAGGCTCAGAACAGATACTGAGGACAAGATAATGATAGAGAGGAGGATGGAGAAAGGCCTCCCTAGCCTCACTGGAGTGTATGTCCAATAGCTGTGTGGCTGTAGCTACAGGGACCTAATCCTCTCATCGTTTTCCCTGGAGAGGAGGCTC